CAATTAATCACCAAAAAGCTGGAAGTGGAGCTGTGGCTCAATTGGGAGAGCCCCCAGGCCTTGAGTTTAAACCTCAGGAGTAGCGTGTGTGCGCGTGCGCGCACACACACACACACACACACACACACACACACACACGGTTAACATGGTAAACTTGGTTATGTGTGTTTTATCATGCTTTAAATATATTCTAAAAATATATAGGACTTCAAAATCTCAGGTAAGTGTTTGAGAAAGATCATGTTTGGTTCATTTGCTGTTTCTTCTAGCAAATATGGTCCTAAGCTCCATGTGAATTAGCTACTGTTACCAGAAATTTAGGGTAACTTAGTTGACCTCCATTCTTGTTTCTGGCAAGAAAAGAAGAGCAATTAAGTAAGGTACCAGGAAAGTTTATTAGCAAAGAATTATGGCAGAGAAAGAGAGAAAGAACAAGGCATAGGCATTCCAAGGGAAGATGGCAATTCAATCCATTTTAGCCAACTTGGATTGTCTTCCAGGTTAAAGAGCTTGACCTTGGGTTTAGTAGGGAGACTTGGAGTCCTTGAAGACCGCTGATAGGTGAGGAGACTCACCTATAAGTATCAAGTTCATAATGCTAAAGATTTAGTACTTCTCCCTATTTTATCATTCTTTTGTCCTTCACACTTCCTCATTCTTTTTTTGTTTGCATTTGGTTTGCATTTCCTGGTCAGGTTTTAGTTTATCATCTTATCCTGTCACCTGCAAGTTCTCCAATTGCCTCCTTTTCCACTAACAAATATCTATACTGTGACTTAAAAGGGCACAAGGTACATACTTCTTAAAAGTGAACAAGTAAATTCACAACTTTACACATACATTCTCAAAAAAAATTAACTGTCAATGTTGTGTTTTTGTTTCCAGCTGCATGTAAGCAAGCTACCCATGACCACTCAAGAAATACTAAGCAAAATAAGAGGTTGTCACTGAACAGCTGTTCTACTTTAACCACCCTGACACGTAGAGATGCTTTGTAAAACAGCCCCAGTGCATACACTTTTAGAACACTGAGGGAGAATGGTCTTTCTCTCTAACAGTGGCCTGCATCGGGGTCTGCCACTCTTACTTGGCTGGGCTCTAAGTAAAAAGCAGGACATCAGAGGCATATCCTGGGGGCCAAATTGTGGGGGACCCACTTCAACAGCTGCATCAACAGCAGCAGGTGAAACCTTACTGAACCTCAATTTCATTTACTGCTAGTTAATAATATTCAAGCCTAGTAATTCTTCCAGACCAGCATCTGATAAGCTACAAGAGTATTTGCTAATGAGTTTAAGCAACATCCAAGCACTTGAATAGTTTCCAAGCATGGCAACATCGGTTTTGTCTAATTTAACTTTAGGTGAGACAAAATGAAAGTTTTACCTATCTAGTTAATTGTTTCATTTATATATCTAATGAATTCTACATCTTGCTCCTGTCCTGTTTTTTTTGTTGTTGTTGTTGGGGTTGTTTTTTTAAAGCAAAACCAAGAAACAGCTTTCCTAAGACCATTGGGAAAATAGCCTTTTCCCTCTTCAAGAGAACAAGGGTCTCCGTGGCAGATTGCCTGTGAGGGAACCAGCCACAGCAAAGTGACCATGTGGGGAAGGTGGGTTGGTTTCCCCCTCACCTGCCAGAGCAGCTGTACCACTGCCTGGCAAGACTTGCTGAGGAGACCTTACGTGGTGTGCTGGGCATTCCTAGTGAGTCTTAGTATGTGTGCCTAACCCTGAGCAAAATTCAAAGTATTTTACGGGATTTTCTTTGAACTCTGTAAACTATATAGGCATGTATCTGTAACATCTTTATCAATCAAACCAAGTTTAACATAATGCAGTTGGAAGTTAACTCCTGGCCCTTCAGAGAAGTCTGTCCTGCTTACACAATTAGAAGAGCTGAAGGAACAGCCTTTAGTCCAACATCTGGAACAATTCTCAGAAGACCATAGCAGAACTGGCTGTTTAGGAGACACTGGCTCTGCTGACAGTCTGGAAGATGCTGCCTGATCTCTGGTTCCACAACCCCATTACCTCAGCCATGATCCCAGGACCTATTACTGCTATTCCAGACAAATCAAAACATCCCATAATTGCTAGTAGAAACAATTGATCTCCATTTCACTTGGCCTTCCTAATTTCAAGCAAGAACATCTGCATGGAAGAAGCGCTCACATTTGGCATTCAAGCTGAAATGGACTCTGGGAAATGTAAACTTCAGTCTTTTCTGATCCCATCATCGAGAGCCCACTTATGTGCTCACAGATGTGTCAAGAGATTAACTCCTCAGCCTTCTCAGTAACCACAAGGCTAAGCAGACAAAATTCATTTGGCCAGTAACCTACTTACCTAGGGCTGCCTAGAGGATAGCTCAAGCATGATGGACTGTATTGTCCGCCTTGGTCCCTCTGGAAAATGAGTATGCGAAGAACCTAGGCTTTCCTGCTTTTCTGTGCTGTTAGGTAAAGTCCAGTGCATGTACAGACACCTGTACAGCTACATAAGCAGCCTGCTGCTGGTGAATCACTGAGAATCATGGACAAAGGGTCCTCCAGCTACTAGATCAACTTAGCAAAGTATAAACAGGTGACTCTGAAAATACCAGTTCCCCATAGGATCTGCTCCAGCAGGAGCCCCAAATCTGTCCTAAGTAAAGTTCTATTTGTTTAGAGATGCCCAAGGCACTATCATAACAATACATACACACTCATAAATTAAGAGTGTCATCTAGAAATGCTTGATACTTAAAAATTCTAGGCATTTGTAAAAAACCACTACCACATTCTGTTAGTGACAGAAAAAGAGCTGTTAGGTTATGAAACTTTTGAAGTTTGACTGATACATAAAAGTTTCAAATTGTTTTAGCAGCTACTTTTGTAAGCAAAGTTTCTGTCAATGGGAACTACCAAGAATTTGAAGAACTTACATAATGGTCTTGATCTAAAATTGCATGTACTCATGTTAGCACACTACATATTGTCTAGAAAGCCAGATGAAGCGTCTCACCAATTCTGAAAATAAAATTATTAAAAATTTCACCCAAAGGCAATATTCATTTAGCATCTTCCTTATTAGTTCGGGTTTGACTGGTTTATTTCTTCTTATACAATGAACATATTTTTTTCCTACCCACCTGAAAAGGAAACTCCAAATCCTCTGCAGCTGGAGCTAAGGAAACCATTTTGTTGTCTAGGTGAGCCTTTCATGGGAAGGGGAAAAAAGAAATGAAGAGAAAGGAACCTTTCAGTTATTGGACATGTCTTGATTGTGGTGAGGTCTCCAGAGGTATGGTGTTTATATGTCAAAACCTACCCAACCGAGCATCTTTATTATATGCCATTTGTTGTATGCCAATTACACTTAAAGCTTCATTTTTTAAAAAAATATGAAGGAAAAAAATCCATTCCAGAAAGGTTGTATTAATTTACACTTTGCCAGCAGCCTATGTAAATGCTTGCCTCACTTATCAGCACTATAATTCTTTAAGAAAAACAACTGCTAATTTTAAAGGTAAAAATACTGTTCTTTAAAAGTGCATGTCTTTAAGAGTACACTAAAATTTTTCATGGTAATCAGCCCACTTTTCTTTCATTGCCACAAAACAATGAAGAATGGTAATATTAGTAAGGCTAGTAAGAGAGGAAGGTCTTTTATGTGCCATATGAATCAGTTCAAACTCAAGAAAATTACTATTCTAAATGGCAGCTTTAAGTATCTAAGTTTATCCAGTCCTTCCACTAAGAATCATAACTAGCTACTGGAAAGAAACTGATACACTTAACATTAAATAATGAACCTTAGTTTCATTAATAATGGAATATTTTCATCTCCTTAGGAAGCTTATAAAGGTTAAATCACTTGGCCAAGTACACAAAACTAAATGACACCCAATTTGGAACTAGAATCCAGCACCCTGGGGACATGACCTACTCCAGCAGACAATGAAAAGAATGGAATGATTGAATTTGAACTTTCTTCCACATAAAACTAGGAGGGTACACCAAATGACCACTGGACTCCTTCCAGTTCTAACCTTTTCTAAATGCAGTTGAGTGAGTAGATAAAAGTTGACTGCTGCCGTTATACTGTTGTAATTGTTTTTATTACCAGACTGGGAAATCCTTGACTATTCATTTTTTTGGCCAGTCCTGAGGCTTGAACGCAGGGCCTGGGCGCTGTCCCTGAGCATTTCATGCTCAAGGCTAGCACTCTCACTTGAGACACAGCTCCATTTCCAGCTTATTGGTAGGTAATTTGGAGTAAGAGTCTCACGGACTTTCCTGCCCAGGCTGGACTGAACCTTGATTCTCATATCTCAGCCTCTTGAGAAGCTAGGATTACAGGAGTGAGCAACTGGTGCCCAACAAGAATCCAGATTTTTATGCATTGAAACTGATGAAAAAAGTAAAATTTGCACCTCATGAATTTTTAAACATTTAGAGTGGAGAGTATTAGTGGTTAGGAAAAATGACCTTTCTAAAAATTTTTCAGCATATTCTAAAATGCTAATAACATCACTTCTATTCCTTTTTTATGCTGGTACTAGGGCTTAAACTCAGGGTCTAAGTTCTATCCCTTAGCTATTTTGTGCAAAATTGGTACTGTATCTACCACTTACGCCATAACTCTACTTCCACATTTTCTATTCTTAAAATAATTTTTGTCAGGCAATAGTGGTGATTCATTCCTGTAACTCCAGCTACTCAGGAGGCTGAGATCTGAGGATGACCATTCAAAGCCAGCCCCAGGACAGAAAGTCTATGAAACTCATCTCTTATAAGCCAGCATAAAGCCAGAAATAGCATTGTAGTTCAAGTGGTAGAACAGTAGACTTGAGCAGAAAAGTTCAAGGGACAGCACTCAGGCCCTGAGTTCAAGCCTCTGGACTGGCACAAAAACTACAAAATAAATAAATACATAAATTCTTTTGACAGAGAAATAAATTAGTGTTCTGTTATCATGAGCTGCCATGTTAATTTCACTGATTTCAGTCTTTATTAAAGTTAATTTTTACTGGATATATGTGTCTCCTGATATGAAAATGCTGACTTTTAATATGTACTTTGCAAATTTACATCAGTGGTGGGTAAGGCTTCAACTGAATAGATTTTAGTCTTCAAAAGCATAGATGCATCTTCCATCTTTAGTTTTTCCATCAACCAATTATTAACCTAACCAGAGAAAAAGAAAAATAGTTTGTGAAATGATAACTTTTAAAAGCTGTAACTTCAACCATATTAAAGTCAACAGCTTTTTAAGAATAAATTAAATTACAGTTACTCATATTTTCAAAACCTAATAAGACTATATGAATTGACTATAGAATTAAGAAGCACTCTAACAGTGAACATTATAAAAACTTTAAAGGCTGTCTAAATGGTATAAAAATTACTTTGTTGGAAAGATCTTTTTACTATACAATACCACTAGTTGTACACTAGGAGAAGGGGGACATTTCAATCTTAGGAATCTATACATGACCCATCTCTGGATTCTAATGTACATTAATGGAAGACCTGAGTGTTTACACTTCAGATTATGCATAAGGCCAAGTGAACAGCAGGAAGATTGGTCCCAACATTACCATAGATATAAATGTATTTATATGATTCTTTTTATGGGTAGAGATATTTAGGAGTAGAAGATGCTGTTCAAGGAAAGCTGTGGTGCTTGAGATCAAAGGGAGCCATAAGAGGAAGACCATCTTCTTCTGAGTGTTCAAGTGGTCTGTACCCTGCATCAGCCTCATTCTGGCTAAGGAAAACAAACATTAACACCTTTTTTTTCCAGGTTCAAGATTGTGTGGAAACTGGAATGGTTTAATATAACTTCAATTAAATAGGAAAAAGTATTATTTACAATCTTCCTTATCAAAAATGGATTAAAGTTGCCCATTAACAACATTCATAAAATTCCCCAATATCTGCTAAGCAGAGCCAAGTCATATACTGGCAATGTTCCTTTTCAAAGAAAATCAGAAATAAAGTATTTGTTCCAATAAAGCTGACAATTTCCCTAGAGTGTTAATAACCAAATTCAATCATGGTATTCCCAATAAGTACTGGAATGTATATCAGTAATGAAAGAATACTTCATTTGCATTTTTTTCTTACCAAGATTACATGAAAACCCATTACATTCAAATGCCGCATTTTCATAGCAAGAAAACCTCTCGGGTGGCTTAAATCCAAACAATAAAGGGATTTAGGAACACAGAGCACAGCTACCCTGAAAATAAACATACACAACACAAGAACAATTAGGGAGATGAGCATTTACAATCTTGCTACATATCTGTTCTTTGCAGATTCCCAAGTTGAGCTTTCTTGAAAAGCCCCTGTTTTAGTCCTTCTTTTCTTTCTGTTACTTGGGTCTCTATACGTATCATACTATTTGCAAACCAAAATCTTGAATATTTTATACAGTTTTCCTTCAGCCATTGTTGAGAATGCCTACATTTGTGAGGAGGAAAATTTGCAGATAGGAAAGCACCCATTTTAAAGTTGCTTTGGTAGTGCAAATCTCTGACCTGGATACAATTACTCATTAGAAGTTGAATGGGGAATACTAATAATGGTAAATACATTGCAGATATTGTAAAGAACAACATTTAAAAACTTAAGAGAAAGTCGACTAGAAAAACTAACATCTGTAACAACAATGTAAAGAATGTTATATGTTTTCTCATGTGTGAATTTTGGAAATAAGTTGACTAGGAAGAAAAATGGAAAAGGAATTTATAAAGATACTATATCCTCATTGTCTTCTACACACTAGATTTTATAAGAGAAATTATATGACTATATTATATACATATATTAAAGAAATGCTTAAGTTCTTCACTTGTCAGTTCTTTCTACTGAGAACTATGATAGCTCTTTTACTATGTCAGAGAGTTCTTAGTATGCCAAGAAAGAAAAAGAACAAAATCTTTGGGCAGGGAAGGTGGCTCAGTGGTAGAGTGCTTGCCTTGCATGCATGAAGCCCTGGGTTCGAGTCCTTGGCACTACATAAGCAAAAAAAAGCCGGAAATGGCGCTGTGGCTCAAGTGGTAAAGTGCTAGCCCTGAGCTGAAGAGCTGAGGGATAGTGCCTAGAGTTCAGGCCCCATGACGGACAAAAAAAAAAAAAAAAGAACAAAAACGTCAACAAGTTCAGCAAGGAAGTCTTTTTTGAGGACAGATGGGTAGGAAATAAAACATGTGAAAACAGTGGCCAAAGAAAGAGCCAGAGGGATTCACAAAGAGTAAGTCACAAGATAAAGAGATTTATTCTATATCTCTAGGTCATATTTGTTTACTGCCCAAGAGGGTAAAGGAATATAAATTCCTTGAGACAAGGTCTTAGGCTGACTCATCTAAGACCCAAAAAGCCTCTCCACAAAGGCTGACTGAAGAGGGGGTATGCAATGACTCATGACCTAACTCCTCCAGGTATGGTACAGTGCTTCTCCACAGGTTCTGATGAGTCAAGGACTCCATTTATGATTAATGTCAATACTCCCTGCCCTCGTACAATACAATTTAACTGAAGTGCTAAGGTTCTGCTGGTCCCCAACGGCTTATACCGGCAATCTTAGCTACACAGGAGGCTGATATCTGAGGATGGTAGTTAAAAGCCAGCCCTGGCAGGGAAGTTTATGAGACTCTTATCTCCAGCTAACCACCAAAAAGCAAGAAGTAGAAGTGTGGCTCAAATAGTAGAGCATTAGCCTTGAGTGGAAAAGCTAAGGGATAGTACCAAGGCCCTGAGTTCAAAGCCCTAGGACCAGAAAAAAATAAGAAAGAAAGAAAGAAAGAAAGAAAGAAAGAAAGAAAGAAAGAAAGAAAGAAAGAAAGAAAGAAAGAAAGAAAGAAAGAAAGAAAGGAAGAAAGAAAGAAAGAAAGAAAAAGCTAAGGTTTCTCTACTTTTGAAAGGTCTTTGAGTAAGGAAGTAAAGCAAACTATATGTTGGATATTAGATTATTTTGTGTGTGTGTGTGTGTGTGTGTGTGTGTGTGTGTGTGTGTGTGTGCGCGCGTGTTGGCATAATGCTTAAACTCTAGGCCTTATGATCTCAATCTGCTTGCTTTCTGATCGCTGGCATTTTTCTACTTGAACTATGCCTCTAGGACAGTATTTTGTTGGCTAATTAAAGATGGAATCTAGCTGGCTTCAAACCTCCAGGTCTTATCCTCCTGAATAACTAGGATTACAAGTTGGAGCCTCCAGTGACCAGCTGGTATTTGTTTGTCTGTAGAAGTCTCAAATCTTTGTGTCTTTAAAATATTACCTTGTTTGAAGTTCAAGCATTGATAGCTCAACTATGTTAGCATTGCTTTATGACCAGTTTAGCTTCAAAATCTAGCTTTTTGAAAATGTCTATTTCAATAAGCAACACAATTCCAGTTTTGTATTCAACTGTAATAAACACATTTACACTGGATACCAGTGGCTCACGCCTATGAGCCTAACTACTCAGGATACTGAGATCTGATGATCGTGGTACAAAACTAGCCTAGGCAGAAAAGTCCCCATGAAAAACCAGAAGTGATGCTGTGGTTCAAAGTGGTAGAATGCTAGCCTTGAATGAAAGATGAAAGAGTTCAGGGACAGTGCCCAGGCCCTGAGTTCAAGCTCCATGACCAACAAAACAAACAAAAGGAAAACAATTTAAAAAAACACATTTACATGAAACAGTAGATTTTGAGTGAAAAATCTTTTGGTTTGTTGAAAGCTCTATACAAACACATTGGTATTATTACTGCTATCTGATATGAAGACTTTCAGATTTCAGATTTAATTTCAGAAAGCCAAGAAAGTAAGTATTATGTAAGCAACCTTTGTATATTTGTAGAAGTAACGTCAGCCTCTGAAAATGAAAATGCTTGGCTTCTGTTGGCATCCATTCTGATTTCAAAATCTGAAAGAAAAAAATTGAAATGAAATTTTCAAACATCATGAATTTCTATATCAAAATGTCTAAATCTACTATTAGTAATGATAATGGCAGTTGCCAAAAAAAAAAAAATACTGAGAGCTTACTAGTTGGCAAACACTAGTCTGTGGATTTTTACTTGATTCTTTTTTTTTTTTGGGGGGTCCGGTCGTGGGGCCTGAATTCTGGGCCTGGGCGCTGTCCCTCAGATCTTCAGCTCAAGGCTAGTACTCTACCACTTGAGCCACTTCTGGCTTTTTTCTTTTTGCTTATGTGGTGCTGAGGAATTGAACCCAGGGCCTCATGCATGCAAGGCAAGCGCTCTACCACTGAGCCATCTTCCCAGCCCCCCGTCTGTGGATTTTTACTCAGATTAGTTATCAGTTATTAGTCTCAAAGTATATTGCCATTTTCCAGATAAGGAAATTAAGGTGTCTAAAATCACATCACTGGTCATTTGTAAAGGAAGAATACAAACCCTGGCAATCCAGGTCCAAGGAAAAACTACATGGTACTAAGCTGCTACAATGAACTTTTTTTTTTTTGTCAGTCATGGGGCTTGAACTTTGGGCCTGAGCACTGTCCCTCAGCTCTTCAGCTCAAGGATAGCGCTCTACCATTTGAGCTACTGCTGAACTTCTTTTTTAAGGGAAATAAATAAAATAAGGAAGTCCCATACCAATGTGATAGTTATGTGGCAACTGGACATTTCTTGCAAAGTATCCTTCACCTCCCAGAATGCTACTTAGCACCTGGGCAACCTTTGCATGTGTCAGCGATGGTGACGGTGGCGGTGGTGGCAGTGGTAGGTCTATGGCACTTTGATAAGCAACATCGTCAAGTTTCAGACACGTATCTAAAATATGAAGCCTAAGAACATTTTTCTCTACATCACCTAAAAAATAACACAATGGTGGAACAAAGGGTTAACGAAGTCAGCAGTGATATTCACTAGACACTATGTTGAAAATGAACTATACAACTTCACAGGGAAAGGGGTTGGGAGGGAGAAAATTGATGAGGGAAGAGGTGACAATGTCCAAAAAGAAATGTACTCAATACCTGACATGTAACTATAACTCCTTTGAACATTACCTATACAATAATTTTTTTAATGGATGCTCTATCTTCAAGATAATATTAATATATCTCTATCTGTAAGTGTCTCTTTCTTATGAGAACTCTCCTGGGGTCTCTGTAGGTTGGGTGGTTTGAAGCACTGACTTTACCTTCACCCTCTTCCCCAGTAACATCTGTTCTGCAGACTCCAGTGTCTTACTTTAGTCATTACTACGCACTGCCATCCTACCTGATGTCAGCAGTTCATCGATGATTTCTTTTTGGAGAAGTTCATTAATAGGAGCCAAGGGGAAATAATTCATCATACAAAATGAACACATGGCGTTCAGTAGGTTTTCAGAAGAAATATGGTGTAGACAACCAGTCAGAGCACTGGACATACCTTCTAGGAACCTTTTAGGAATAAAAAGAAAAATCAGATTTCAAACATAAATACAAAAACAAGGTCATGGAGGAGCTAAGTAGGTGTTATAGAACTAATGTCTTCAATGAATCCCAAGAAAAGAGATAAGAAAACCAGGTCTATAAATAAGTTTCTACATATAAATCAGGATAAATTGCTAGTATATCCAATTAATGAAGGCCTATTGCTATATCTTGCTCTAAAAGTTATTTAGTAATTTTACTTGTTTAAGTCTTACTAAAACTATGGGACATTATTACTATTCCAATAAGAAAATGAGTAAACAGGCCCAGAGAAGTTGAGTAATTAGTCTATGAATTAGTAGTGTTTGGGTAAGCAAGCTCTGAAGCAAGGAATGACAGGGACAGTATTGCCAGTCTCCAGAGCCCTGACTTATAGGTTGACTGTCTTAAGCTCTTGATATTCAACTTAACTCACTATGTAGATCAAGCTGGCCTCAAACTTGTGATCCTCCTACCCTAGCCTCAAAGTGCAAGGATTACAGGTATACACTAACTTCCACATCCAGTTTTAGAGACTTTTAATAATTATAGAAGATTTTCTATAAAGCCAGCACTCTTGCAGAAATTGTATCATCTATTAAAATTCTGTAGCTATCAAAATTCTGAGTTAAGTTTAATATCGATGGCTCATGTCTATAATCCTACCTACTAAAGAGGTTGAGACCTGGAGGATCAGTTTGAAGTTAGTCTGGGCAGATAAATCCAAAAGACTCTATCTCTGAAACAGTCTGGGATTAGCTGTGATTTGGAGAAAAAAAAAAAAGATCAAGAAGTTAAAAAAAAAAAAACTAAGAAAAAAGGTGATGGGTTAAGTAGATAAATGTTTTCCTCTGTAGATTGCAAGCCACAGAAAATATGGATCTTACATGCCCTCTCCCTACTATAGGCAATCAGCTTCTGGACATACATGTTCCTATCACATCCATCTCTTCCAGTCAACTCTCTTTCCAAATGCTTGGAGTTAGCCTATTTTTTCAACCTTGTCACTCTTGCTTACAATGTTGTCCTTACTCTTTGCTTCATACAGCATCATCTGGTACCTGCCATTTACTGCTTCCCTCTGGAAGAACAAGATATGGCCTCTAAATTGAACTAGAAAAGATGGAGCACAAACTTCTTTTTCATAGTCATCAGAGTACCAAACTCAGACAACGGGGCATATGTGGACTGATTAACTGCTATCTCCCACTGTCCCTGTTCCTCTACACAGAGACATGGAATGGGAGACTACGAGGTAGATAGACTTTTCTAATCACAGTATGACTGACATTTAGAACTGGATAATTCCTTGTTGTGAGGGGTGTTAGCAGAACTTCTGGCCTCCACCTAGTAAATAGCAGCACACAAGGCTTAGCCTTTGTATGTCCTCCAGTTGTGGCAACAAAACATGCCTCCAGCACTGCCAAATGTCCCATTGGGAGACAAATCACTCTGGTTGAGAACCTCTAGGTCCAATAAAAGCAGAACAGACAGATAAAAGGATAATATTCATAATCCTCCTCTCCTGTACTATTTAATTCTGCTACTAATATTTTACTAAATACCCCAACTCTTGTTGCTTCTTTTTGGTATGACGATTTCACTGGATCCAGTTACCACTTGAGCTGCTTAGAATCCATAATCTCCCTCACCCCTTAGCACTTATTCGCTAACCCCATACGCTCTAAGAGACAATTTCTAGAGTTTTCATTACCACCAGCTTGCTAGTAATTGTCTGAAAAGTGCAGAGGTCAAGGAGAGAAAGAAAACCATGTCAGAGCAAGAGAAGGATAAATTTAGGAGATATTTTTCAACCTTTATTAAATGCCCATTTTTTGTTAGGTCCTGTGCTAAGTTCAAGGAACCTGGTTTTGATTCCAGAGAGCTTATTAAATGAAGAATAGAGATACATGAATTGACACAATTATGTGGCCAAGTATCCACCAGATTTTAGGATACACTGGCACTGACAGAGACACCAGAGAAAGCAAAGGAAACTGTTTCAGTGGTGGGCACAGTAGGCAGGTGCTTTGTAGGCAGCCTAGCCCGACTTAATTGATGAACTGAACACAAATAGATAGCTTTAGAATCTGGATGCCAGTTATTTTGTGGCAAAAAAGACAACCTGAAAATCTTGTCACTAACACCCTCTGAATGTTTTTTCCTCCATGCTATTTCCTTTTTTCAATCTAACAACTACTTTATGACAGACATTGTTTTCATAGTCTGGCATAGGTAATTCATTTAATCCTCAAAATGACTCAAGGCAAATTTATCCCCATTTTAATAGTGAACAACTCTTTGCACAAATAAATAACTTGTCAAGCATGTAGTATGTAATAAAGGTAGGGCTGGAATTCAAACCTAGAAAAACTATCTTTAGAAGCTGTTATTTTAATCCACCTAAAATAATACTCTTCTTCCTGGTTTTAAATAAACCCTGACCAAAAAAAAAAAAGATGTTTATCTAGTAATAGATAAAAAGAACAGAAAGTAGTTTGGGACAAAGTGAATAGTCACTAAGAGTGACATTAATAAGACAGACAAATAGAAAGACCAGGTCATTTAGCTCTACAGAAACACTGATTTGATGAAAACCTACAGACCAAATAGGACTTCATGAGGAGTCCAGAATCAAGATAAAAAAAGGTCATAGTAATCCAAATATGCGCAAAATCAAAAACAGCTGCATAGGAAGATAAAAGGAGAACTTTACCTATATCAAGCCCTCCCTCAAACTGTCAGCACTCAACACTAACAGACACTCTTGGCCTATGACTTTTCTCTTGGAGGAAAGAGTAGAGGATGCACACAGCATTCCGGTCTTTCACTGAGACTAAGGAATTGGTTTCTGCTTCACCTCACATGAGGTACTGATGGATCCAGCATAGATCAGCTGTCTAGGCAGAGTTTTAGGAAAGTACTTTCTGCAACTAGCACAGACACTAAGATGAAGAGAAAGTACAGAGTCATGGGTATCACCCAAAGAAGCAGAGAAGTGCAGTGGAATACACCTTTAACATCACAACTATCTGAGTGCCCATTTCTTGGACACCTCATATCTTGCCTCCTATCTCCATGCCAACACAACTAGCACAGTTCAGATGCTTAGGAAAAGTTAAAAAGAAAGGAAAAGAGCTTGGTGGCTTATAGTGGACAGAGCAGCTCTTCAAGGTTGGGAAATGAGCAGAACACCAGAAGGAAGGAATCTGGTGCATCTCCAATGTCCCAGCCTACAGTTCCGAGGACAGACACCAGAGGGAGCAAGAGCTTATGGGCTCCTGAAATAAATGAAATTTCCAAATCCTAATTAGGAATCCAGCCAGGTGCTAATGGCTCATGCCTGTAATCCTAACTACTCAGGAGGCTGAGATCTGAGGATTATGGTCCAAAGTCAGGCTGGGCAGGAAAGCCTATTGGAACTCTTATCTCCAATTACACCCGCCCCCCCAAAAAAAGCTGTAAATGGAGCTGTGGTTCAAGTGCTAGCAAAAGTTCAGAGACAGCACTCAGACCCTGAGTTCAAGCTCCAGGACCTGCACCTCCAACCAAAAAAAAAAAAAAATTTCAAGCACAATCAGAGAAGACATATCCACAGAAAGGCCTGAAAGGGCCCTGTATTTTCTGACTTGACTGAGGGTCTTTCCTTGTCAAAGCCAGTCTATAAAAGTAGGGCGAGGCAGTTGTTCCTTTAAATGTGCAGACAACAGTGCAAAAAACTACTTAAACACAATCAAGACCACATGATACAATTAAAGGAATAACTATCAAATAGCTGACCCCAAACAAATGGAGACTTGATTGCCTCACAAAGAATACAAAGTAACTATCTTAAAGAAACAGTGAGTTTCAGGACATACACAAATAAATCCAATCAGGAAACAGATGACAAAAGCTAGACAATCAACAGATCATGTTAATTTTTTTAAAACAACTTAACATTTCAAGAAAAATAAAAACTATACAAATATCCTTTCAGCCCATAATGGAATGAAACTAGAAATCAAAAGCAAAGCTGGTAATTCACAAAAATGTGAAAATTATAGAACATTGTATGTGGGGGGGGGGGGTGATGGAGATGGAGCACACATGCATGTGTATGTGTAAGGCCTGGGTTCTTTCCCTGACTGGTACTATCCCTGAGATTTTTTTGCTCAAGGCTAGCGCTCTACCACTTGAGCCACAGCTCCACTTCTGGCTTTTTGATAGTTAATTGGAGATAAGTCTCACTGACTTTCCTGCCTGGGCTGGGTTTGAACCAAGATCCTCAGACCTCAGCCTCTTGAGTGGCTACAATTACAAGCATGAGCCATAGGTGCCTGGCAGACGAGCTAATGGGCCAAAGAAGTCAAAGTGGAAAATATCTCAACAAAACCACAACATATCAAAAATTATGGGATCACAAAGAAATAATCTAAAATTGTACTTGAGGAAATTATTAAGCCCAAACTTAGCAGAATGAAAAAGATCATAAGGATTAGCACAGAAATAAATGAAATAGAGGAAGTGGTGCTGTGGCGCAAGCAGTAGAGTGCTTGCCTTGAGCTGAAGAGCGCAGGGACAGCGCCCAAGCCCAGAGTTCAAGCTCCACGACTGACCAAAATAAAAGAACACAGAAATAAATGAAATAGAGAATAGGAAAAAAATTAACAAAAATTAACAAAATTAAGACATGGCTTTTTGAAGAGATCAACAAAATTGTCAAACTCTATCTAGACTACCAATGAACTGTGAAATCACATTTATAATAGCAGCAAAAAGAATAAAACAGAATAAATCTAATCAAGGAGGTGAAAAAGTAGCCCACAAATGTTTGCATTCTTTTCTATTTTTCATTAGTGTTGTCTTAATTCTTTCATTAGTGTTTTGCTGTTTTCAGTATATAGTAAAATGTCTGTATTATACAGAATGATCTACAAAGTAGACACACAAATAGTTTACGGAATATGTTAAAATGCTCATTACCAATAATCATAAGGAAAATGCCAATCAAACCCATAAAAGATATGAGATATAACTTGCACAGGTTATAATGGCTACTATTTTTTTAAAGGATTAGGAAGAAGACATTAGAATGGGGAAACAAGATGGGGGAAGGAGGAGGGAACGTAGTTGTGGAGGTGGAAAGTAAGGGATGGTAGGGGAAAAACAAAGGAGGAAGCAACAATCCTTGATAAGAAATGTACTCATTACCTTGCCCATGTGATTGTAACTCCTCCGTACAGTATTTTCACAATAAAAAACTTGTTAAAAAAAAGAATGGGGAAATAAAAGTGTCTGTGTACTGTTGGTAGAAATATAAATTAGTATAGCTACTAAGGAAAGCTATAAGGATTTCTCAAAAAATTTAAAAGGAGACAATTCCACACCTAGAAATATTTATAAGCATGATCTCCTAAAGATATCCATAGTTCCATGCTCATTGCAGCATTATTCACAAAGTCAGGATACAACCTAAATGTCCTCAACGACCTAAATGTCCATCATTCTAAACAGATGTTTTTAGAGGGGAAGCCAGATATAGTGGTGCACATCTATAATCTCAGCAGTGAGAAGGTTGAAGAAGGTTGAGAACACAAGTCTAGGTAATCTTTTTTTGGGGGGGGTCCGGTCGTGGCCTGAACTCTGGGCCTGGGCGCTGTCCCTCAGCTCTTCAGCTCAAGGCTAGCACTCTACCACTTGAGCCACAGTGCCACTTCTGGCCTTTTGTTTTTCTGCTTATGTGGTGCTGAGGAATCGAACCCAGGGCCTCATGCATGCAAGGCAAGCGCTCTACCACTGAGCCACCTTCCCACCCTGAGGTAATCTTGAACTACAGACTAAGTTCAAAGCTGCCCTGGGTTACATAGTGAAATTCAATAGAATAATATTAATCCTTCAAAAAGAGCTATATGCTAGAACATAGATAAACATGGAGGACATGATGCTAAGTAATGAACAAATCACAGAAGAACAAATACTACATAATCTCAAACTCAGAACTAGGACAATGGTTGGAATGGGGTAAGGAGTTAACAATAATCCACTGACATTTAAAAATTTATAGGAGTAGCTATCATTTAATAAAAGGAAAACTAATACTAAATTAAAGATACATTTCTTAACTTTACAACAAATTAAAAAAAACTACAAACTTAGTAGCTAATGAGATAAGATAGGAAAGTTTGAATACTGAATGAACATACATTGAGAATTTTTTTGAGAAAGACAAAGAACAGTAAAAGTAAAATTCTATTCAATTTCATAAATGACTGAAAAATACTGTCTAGTTTCTTCACATGGATGATAACTACGGGTACATTCAGTTGTTATAACCTGTTACGCTCATAATTTATAAATAATTTTATGTTATGTAATAATTGAGTAAAAGAGAAAGTACATACTCTTTGTGCTGGCCTTTGTCGATGTGATTAAGAGAAGAATACACAAACAGAACAGATATAATACTTTTCATGTGCAGAGATTCAGGTTTCTCTACAACTTTCTTCATAAACAAGTCCATCAATTCAATGGGTCGAAAGTGAAGGTTTTCAAATAAAACAAGGAGAAGAAGGACCTTAAAAAGAGGAAAATGTCTTAGTTACAATAAACTGCTAACAATCTTTTATATCTGAAAAACATTAACAGTAATACCACTGTCCTGAGTGATAAAATACTTTCTAAAAAGGAAAAAATATCTCCCTGGCACCAGTGGCTCTTATCTGTAATCCTAGTTACTCAGGAGTCTGAGATCTAAGGATCATGGTTCAAAGTCAGCCTGGAAAGGAAAGACCATGAGATTCTTATCTACACCAAAAACTGGAAGGGCAGCTGTGGCTCAAGTGGGAGAGTGCTAGTCTTGAACACAAAATCTAAGCCCTAAGTTCAAGCCCTATGACCAGCAAAAAAAAAGGAACAGAAATTCTTGAATCATATTAAGTTAATTATCTTTTTGTATCTGAGAACCAGAACAATACAATGGTTTCCATACTTCTATTTCATTTAAAACTAAATTCTTTCCTACATGCTTTTCATACTACAGATCTTAAAATTACTTTTAAATGTACCTTTAAATGAGGTTTCCCAAAGTGACTAACACAATCTCAAATAGCTCCCACTTCCAACTCCAGATACTCCCTAGATCCTAAGGTAACTGAAAAACTTCTAGATTTTATAATAATTTCTAAAACTGAAAATGGTTGAAGTATCATGGTAAAAATAAGTTTTCCAGGACACCTCCAACCTTCCCCTTGGGTCTTTACCACAATAATTCTTTTCCCAAGGTTAATGTAAAATTTTTCAATACTGAGTTAATAAAATCAATATTCACTTTACTCTCTAAACAGACCCAAATATTTGCCACAGTCATCACCTACTTCATTATAAAGAGAAAAATTCTAGCAGCTGATCCATGTTTCTATTAAACATTATTCCTAGAAGCTTTTTCACAGAATGAAAATGGAAATGATCATAAATAATAACATTTTATGAATAACAACATTTATCTGTCACTTTATGAATAACAACATTTATCTGTTACTTTTAAAAATCTGGGAAGGAAAAGAAACACACAATGATAAATACTCATGTACAATATAATCTTCCAAAAACCGAATAAGAGAGCACACTTCAGACAATATCATTTTTGTTTCAGATACAAAGACAATTAAATCACTAAATAGTATATTAATAAATAACCCCAGAAAGGAATAATGAATAATTTTTCAAAAGTCAGATTAGTATTGGAAATTGACATATTAACTGCTATAAAGCAGAAAAAAATACTTAAAATGTTTAATAAATTGATATGCTCTTTAAAGTTGTTGAGGACTACTTGAAACTGATCATTTACTCACTTGTTTCAAATTCCAGATGTCAAAAGTTGTAGACACATAATCTGCTATTCCCCTGAAGAGATCTAAATTATGGTATTGGAGTTCTTTGCAAGACCGCAAGATGCTGACCAATATTTTAAAAGGACATCCATGGATATTATCTTTAAGAACCAATTAAATAAACAAACAAAAATTACCAGATAGTTTTGAATGCACGATTTATTATGTCCAACGTTTCTGTTCCTTTTGATTAAAAGAAAAGGAAGCACCGTATTTTTAGGAAAAAAAAACTATAGGCAAAAATTAAATATTTATAACCAATTTTAACTCATATAAAAGCAAAATTTCACAAGGAAAACAAATGTAATTCAAAACAGCACATCAGATACTATTAATCATGAGAGGAAAACTCCCCTTACCTATGACCTTCTTACTGCATTCACTCAGGAGAGCAACAGAACGATGGTTCATAGCAGCAAGGACTTCAAACATGTGCTGGCTATTCAAAAAAGAAAATCTGTCTAATTCTTTCAAGGCTTTCATCTAAAACAAACAAACTTGTGTTTAGCATTTGTGGAAAAATAAATTAAAATTTTAAGTAAAAAGTATGAAGTTTGAGAAAAACAACTCACTAAAAAAACTACTCTGTGTTTATCATTAGTGGAAAAATAAACTTTTAAATAAAAAGGATGAAATTTGAAGAACTCAGACAGGTAAGTAAATTCATGTTTATATATGCAAACAAAAAAATCTTAATTGACTTCAGTAAAGCTAAACCCCAAAAGCCTAACAATGTTCTCTCCCCATCCTCCCCACTCCAAAGTGACTTCAAGAAATAGTAGCAGGGTCACAAAAAATATTTTTTTTAATTATCCACTAAAGAAAATTCAGGTTCTTACCTCCAATTTCTTTTTAAGTGCTACTGGTGTATCTTTTCCAATATATTTCATCACAGTTTGTAATGTGAAGACACGCTGTATTTTCCAAACATGTTGATCAACTAGTATCCTGTCATTAAACACAATAAATATTATAATCCTAGAATAATTTCAAACTTTATTTGGCTCAGTTCCTGCTTCTCATGAGCAAAGAATATGAAGCCTATTAAAGAGATCTACCTGCCCAACAGAGTCTAGAACTAGTATACCATATAGAACTAGTATCTAGACCATCTAGAACTATTTTGTCTCACATTATTGTGTTCTCAAATCATATCAGGATACTACACTAAGATTTATTATGTATAGTCAAAAAAAGGGATTAAGTATTATTCTCAATAATCTATGACATTAGGTTAGTTGATTCATGCTAGTGTCATGAATAACATAGTGCCCAAATAACTATCCTGAATGGATTATACTTGTCAGTCTTCTCCACCTCTCAATTTCAAAATTATGTTTTAAGATAATTTAATTTCAATTTTGCTCACATATTTGTTTGTGGTAGTTCTTTTAAAAAGGTATTATTTACAGCTTTATCTCACTCAGAGTTAGGATTTTAAGTTTATTAAAGTATGAAAGACTTTAATTACCTACAATATGTTCCTTCCCTCCCCAAAAGGAGTTTAGTTCTCATTTCAATTGTTAATTTCAAGTACAGAGGGTCAGATAAAAACACATGAAGGATAAGAATTTCTCACCGCAACCCTGCTTGAAGAACATCCACATTCTTGCATGGGTCCATTGCCTTTAGAAGAACTGACAAAATTGAAAGACATCTCTCGTCACACTCATTGATACGTTCCTATTGAAATACAATTCAGAAAACATAAGACAATAAGTCCATAGTGGATTATCTCACCCAATGAACACCACTGAACTTCCCATTAAAAGTCTAAATATTAAATCAATAAGCCCTATATTCAATCCAGAATAAACAACTTCATTGGGGAAATAAATTGGAATACACAAATTTTCCAAATAATGGATACACACCATTTTATACATTTTTATTTATCAATATAATTGAAAACACATTTGACACTTTGCTTCTGAAATAACTTGAATCAAACATTATTTTTTCCTCTTCTTAAGACCCAAGCCATCACAAAAACCCCATGGTACATAATGTCAGTGTACTGAGGTATACAATTGTATTCTCTAGTGTTCACCACAGTGCCTAGAATACTGTATGTCTTATAAAGGGTTAGTTTTTCTAAGTGGTTGAAAACATGTCTTCCTTTCTAGATTTAGAAGCCTCATGATTATAAGGGATTATGTTTTTCATATCTTTATATATCCCTATTGACAAATGCAGTAACTCATACATAGTGACATCCAATGTTTATTGTGTCAATATGAATTCACTAGCTCTGTGACTTTAGTCAAGTTGCTTGACAACCCTGAGTCGGCTTCTTCTTCTGCATCATGAAGATAACATCAATCTCCAAGTGTAGTTGAGAGGATTAAGGAAGATTATATAAGTAAAAGCCAGATACCATTTACAAATATGAATCCCTTCCCTTCTCTTTTCTTTCACCTACCCACTCTTTCTTTGTACATCCTGTATCTGTACTTTAGTCACTTCATTATTATTCATCCTGGAGAAAGTGAGTAGCATAAAATTTCCAAAGCAAAAGAAATGACCTATAGCTAGGCACCGGTGGTTTACATGCATAACCCTATATATTCTGGAGGCTGAGTAATTAAGATTCAATAGTAGTTCTAAGTTAGCTGGAGCAGGAAAGTTCATGAGACTCAGATCTCCAATTGACCTTCCAAAAACCAAAAGTAAAGCTGTGGCTCAAGTGGTAAAGTAATAACTTTGAGCAAAAAAGCTCAAGAACCGTGCTCAGGCCCCAAATTCAGTCCCAGGATTGGCACAGAAAGGAAAGGGAGAGGAAAGGAAGGGAGAGGAGGAGAGGGCAGGGGAGAGGAAGGAAAAGGAAGGGTGAAAGAAGGGAGAGGGAGAGAAAGAGACAGAGACAAAGAGACAGAGATAAAAGAGAAAGAAGGAAAGAAGAAAGGAAGGAAGGACCTAGCTAACTTAAAGTCTCCTAACAAATAATATATAAACAAATAAATACCTATGGCAGATTTTTTTACTAGCTTATGCACCACACAAGAGTCTCATATCTAAAAATATACTTAGAGCTCAAAAAGTTAAAACCACCCAAAAATAAACCCTCAAAGAAACAACTACTCAATTTAAATAATAAATAGGGATTTAATAGACTTCTCAGCAAGAATGGCTGTGAGACACGTGAAGAAATGTTGAACATCTCAGGCCATAAAAGAAATGTAAATTAAAACAACAATGAGATTCTACTTCACCCCACTTGGAATGCCATTATCAAAAAATAATAGATGCTGATAGGGATGTGGCCAAAAGGGAACATTGCTACACTGCTGATAGGAATGTAAACTTGTTTAACCATTCTGGAAAGTTGTATGGAGGTTCCTAAAAGACTAAACATAGAGCTTCCCTAGGACCCAGCAATCCCACTCCTGAAAATTTATCTAATAGACCACAAAGAAGGCCATGCTAAAGCTACCAGCACATCCATGTTCATTGCAGCATTGTTTACCTTAATCAAGATATAGAATCAACCTAGATGCCCCTCAATGATCAAATGGATCAAGAAAATATTATATATATATATATATATATAAAATGGAATTCTACACATCAGAAATATTGTACCATTTGTAAGGAAATGGAAAGACTTGGGAAAAAATGTATTAAGTAAGCCAGACCTGAAGAAACATAGACTACATTGTTTCCATTTGTTGTAACTAGAATAGCCTACAAATCTACAAGTAAACACACTATATGGTAAAATACTACCAAACATGTAGACATGCTAAACTATACAGGACTCTAGACATTCACAGTGTGACCTGAGGACAATACTCTTAGGAGAGGATCACAGAGGCTCAACAGCTATGTGCAAATGATCATATAAAATGATATTTATTGAAATGAACTCCAAGAAATGCAAACAAGAGGTTGTTTGTTAGTCCTGAGGCTTGAACCTAGGGACTGAACACTATCCCTGAACTCCTTTTGCTCAAGGCTAGCATTCTACCACTTGAGCCACAGAACCAAAGCTTTTATGTGATTACTTGGAAATAAGCCTCATGGACTTGCCTGCCCAGGCTGCCTTCAAACAGTGATCCTCAGATCTCAGCCTCTTGAGTAGCTAGAACTACCAGCCACCAGCACCCTAGTACAAGAAGTTTTTTGTTACTTTGGGTTTTGTTTTTGTTTCTTTTTTCTCCTTTTTCACTGTTTTTATTTTTGCTATCTTTTGTCTCAAATCTAAGTTTATGTTTGGGGGAGGGTAAGGGGCGAGCACAGTAATGGTAGGACAAAGAGTGAATAAATGAAGCTGTGAGACTCACTAGACACTATGTTGAAAATAAACTATACAACTTTGGATGTGAGGGCAAAACTGGGAGAAAGAGAGGGAAGGAATGACACTGTTCAAAAAGAAATGTACTCATCACCTGAGTATATAACTGTAACCCCTCTGTATATCAAATAAATAAAACTATACAAAAAAGAAACACATATATTCCACAGATAGTGTCTAATCTTTCTTCCCATCCTTTCAAATGTATAAATACATTTCAGTTTCCTTTTGATTTTACCTGTACCATCCTCAAGGAAGTCTGTACCACAAGAGTATTCTGAGGTACTCCAAGCTTCACCATAGCATAAAGACTGAACAGCAGGTGGTCATAGTGCATTATCCTGGCTTCTCTCATCATGTGATCACACAGGTGGTTAAAGGCTGGGTGCCTAAACATCAGTTGCTTTTCAAACCGTTTCTGGTCTTCAGACATTCTTTTGGCAATTGTCCACATTGCTGAGAAATAGTTACTGCTAGGAAATGTAGGGGCTTTTGAAAATATATCTAACACGTCACTCAAGGAATTACACTCTTGAGACAATTTTCTATAGCTTATAGGAGTTGGTTTCATTTCTTTATTGGGTTCAGCTCCACTGGAGAACTGTGGATCAACATTCACTTTCTTCAATCCATCATCAAATGTCTCAGCAGATACAAGAGAATGCTTTGAGTTAAAGAATAGTAGTCTTCTAGGACAATGCAATCTGTCAACCCTAAATACTGATGCAATGCTTATGTCTTTTCTTTGCAAGCTACCATCTCCTGATTTTAAAATAAATGCATCCTGAAAAAGGTATCTACATGATGTTTGGATTCCATTATCGAAGTCACTTAACAGAAAGTTTCTTAGGTTCCAGTTTGAATGAGGAATTTTTGGTCTGCAAAACTTCAAAGGATATAACCTCAGAGTTCTGCTCCTTGGAACTAAAGAATTGATTTGTCCAAGGTTCCGTAAAAAGGAACCTGCTTTATGACTCATTTTGCTATCCACTGAAACACTTTCAAATGGCTTTAAAGTTGTCAGTATAAAAGTGAAGTCACCTCTCTTAATGAAAAACAACACATGATGTCATTTTCCTGTAGGAGACAATAATGAAAGAAATTTAAACTTTTACTTAAATACACTTAACAGAAGCCAGCCTAGGAACCCATGGAGTCATTACAAATTTACATTAAAACAGTAAAACAATTGTAATGATATGGACTGCTTCCATGTTTACCTCTGTTACGTCCAATTGACCAGATGTCCTTATCTTGAGGCCCCAGAGTAGTTCCCAGATTCACTAACACTCCCACAGTACCCTTTCCAGACAAGATAAACTCTAGCAACAGGAATCAGACCGAAATGTACTCCCAGCTTGGACCTTGAGCAGGTACTCTGGCGCAGCAACCTCCCCTCCCTCCAGCCTTCACCTTGTTTCCCGCCCTTCGTCCCAATCACCTCCACTAGACAATTCCAGCCTTCAATCTGACTCACTGTAAATCCGTGGGCTGTAAGTAAGGAGTGAATCTCTCTAGCTTTCGCTAGAGGCTCTCCCTTGCGAGTAATTTTTGTTCTTCCTAACAAATCTATGCTGGTACCGAACCATCTCTTCGTCTATTCTTTTTCTCTCCTTTTCCTCCCTCTTTCTGAACCTAACCACCACCTGTAGGCTGTCTGAACGTGTCCATGATTTAGCAGCTTTCGCAGTGATCGCGCCATGAATTCGCTGAAAATAATGAAAGAAAGGGTTGGAGATGTGTTCCATGACCATGCTAACGTGGCTGGAAACTTCCCAACGCGATCTGATCATGTCAGAGCCTGGGCTTGGGCAGGTTGGACCTGCTGAGACGCAGGAAGCCACCGCGAGGCCCGGAGCCCGGAGGAGCCTCCATCGGCCGGCCTCCCCGGACCGCGTCCTCCGCAGCCGCGCCGTCCGCCAGTCACTCCGTGCCGACTCCTCGTCAGATCTCCCACGGCGTCCAGGGTGGGACGCCGGCCCGCCGCGCCTCCCACACTCGTCCTACGCTCACCTCTGAGGAAGAACCCGTGGATGAGGACGGGCGCCGCCATGACAGTTCCGCCGATCATTGCCAAGTATCGCGAGATTCTCCTACGGCATTTCTTGCAGGTCAAAAAGGATCGGTTCGCGGGAAAGAATGGCTCGTTGTAGAAAATGGTTCATTTTCCTGAGCGCCGAAATAAAACTAGAGGCAGAGAAACCACAGACTCTTTTAATACAGGCGATGTGCAATCTAATCGTGTGCCCAAGCGTAATCCTCTCAAGTCATGAATTCGGGTCCCTAACCACTCCCTCTGGATCACCAAACACGAGTGCGCCTGCGCCACGCTTGGCTGCGTGGTTGCTAGGAAACCGCGACGCCGACGCGGATCTGGGTCTCCCCGGACAATGGCTAAGTTCGTGATCGCTGGTGAGTGATCCTCGAGTCTGCCCACAGGACACAGCACAAGCATAATACCACCCACAGCTCACTTCCCCAGGACGCTTGTCAGTGACCGTTTAAATGGCTTCTATTCTAGCAACCCCAGACCTCTAGATTTTCTTGTGCATTTATTCAGACACGAATTATACAATGACAGAGTGTCAAGCACTACTTTTCTTCTTTTCTTTTTTCTCTTTTCTTTTTCTTTTTTGCCGGTCCTGGGGCTTGGACTCAGGAGGGACTGGGCTCAGTCCCTGAGCCTCTCTGTGCTCACGGCTAGCGCTCTACCCCTTGAGATACATAGCCACTTGTGGCTTTTTCTGCGTGGTTTATTGGCCATAGAGTCTCACGGACTTTTCTACCAAGCTGACTTCAAACTACGATCCTCAGATCCCAGCCTCCGGAGTAGTTAGGATTACAGGCGTGAGCCACCAGCACTGGGCTGCTTTAAAATAATTTTTATCATCTTCCCCCTTCCACTCAATGAGACATTCCATTCTATAGATTCTGTCCCTAATACCTCTCCAAAATACCTCTCTCCATTTCCATTGTCCACACTATAGAGTAGACCTCTATCAATAACTGCCTAATCTCTTGGAATCCAATCTTTCTCTCCACACTGCAGCCACAATACTCAAGTAAAATACAAATTCGATTGTTTCCATATTGTATTATTCTGATCTCCTGTGCATTTTCATCAACATTAATAATTGGAAATTTATGTTATGTCTATTTCTGCCATTATGTTATGTTATAAAATTCTAACCATGGAAAACTTCAGAATTGCATGGCAAGTTGTTATACCTAGATGATAATTTCTGTGTTGAAAGAAAACATGGCTCATTTGAACTTTCTTAGGTAAAGCAGATTGTCCATTTTATGCTAAAGCAGAACTTCTGGCAGATTATTTACAAAAGAATCTTCCGGATTTTCGGATATTTAAAATCACACAACATCCTGATGTTTGGGAGGTAAGAAACGTTTACAGTTTCTTAAACTCACACATAAAGTTTGCTCTCTTTTGATAAAATTGGTTTATCATATTGGCTTTTAATAATGAATGTTCATGTATGAATGATATTTCACGACTAGTAAAAGTAGTCTAGTCTCAAGACCTTATTTTATTTCTAATAAGTGGAATAAGTTTGGTGATTCCACAAGAATTCACTCATTAACTTTTTGTCATCCTTCATAAGGATTTCTAGTGATAGGAGGACTTGTTAATTTGAAACAGTCATCTTTATGACTGTGTTGCAACAGAAACAGCTTCAAAATGGAAATTTTGAAGAAATAGCTTTTCTGAACAGTGCTCTTGACAATGACAACCTGAGAAGGAAAGAGGACCCTGTAAGGGTATTGGGTAAAGGGGGTAGGTGAACTACAATGCAGCCTGCAAGGATCCTACAGGGCACTCATTGGTATGACTTTTGAGAGATACCCCAACTTGAGGCAAGGTTTTTTCACTTCTGTATCAACCAGTCACCAGATATTGGCTTTTCCAGGGGAAATGATTTAACCTTAGACAAGAGAAAACCCTTCTGCTGAGGTCATTCATGGAGAGAGATGGCAGTTTGCCATCAGCTTCCAATACAGCTGGTAGAAAAGGGCATAGGTGCCTTGGTTATTAAGAGGGGATATAGACTACACATGAGAGCATCCAGTACATCTTTTGTATCTGTGGGTCCACATGTACCATATAAGTTCTCACTACCTAGTAACAACTCATCTGAATTCCAAATGGCATCTTTCCCTTGGGAAATTTCACATGCCCCAAGGCATGTAGTTTCAAGGTCAAATTGGCGCTCAGTACTTTTTTTTCTGTTCTATCCACTGTAGATTCCCCTGGTCTGTGTCCTTGAAGGCTCTGAGCCCTAGTCACTCTTGAGGATTTCACTGCTATGTTTGTCCATTTTTGTATCAAATGTGAGCAGAGCAATATTAAGGATACCTGATAGATAAGACAGATGTTGGTTTTTTTCTTTTAATTTTTTAAAATAGTTATACAAAGGAGTTTCAATTCAACCTGTCAACTTTATGAGTGCAGTGTGTCTTAATCAGGGTCACACTTTCCATTATTCCAGATGATAACTATTCTTCAGCACCCACACTACGGACCTGCCACTGCACAACAGAGCCAATTACCCTTTTCAGAATGTCAACTCCTGTCCCTACCTTCTGGGTCTCTTGTCATAACAGCTCCCTGTGTGAATAATGGAAGCCAGAGCCTAAAATTTAGTGGGACTTTTCCTTTGTCCCTAGTATAGCCACTCCCCCTTTTGGATTTAGGAGTACAAATTCTTTCCATGGGTCACTGGGAGTGATGTTAAGTGTCCCTCTTAATTTTAATTCTTAGTCTCTGAATCCAATTATTCTATATATTATTAGGGAAAAACACTACATGGATGTGTATGTGGGGGGGGGGGAGGGAGAGAGAGGAGAGATACAGCCTGAAGGAGATGTCCATACTTGCACGGGATACATCTTAAAGCTAATACATGTCTTTTGTGGCCCTTCTGCCCCTCTATGAGGCTAGGTGGTACAATAGGAGCAGGCAATCTGGTTATAGGCTCCATTATGCATGCAGCATCTTTTTGCTATAAAAGGTATCTTTTGGTTTGAAATTGTGTTATGTAGGATTTAGTGTTGGTATACTAGACAGTTTGTAAGTGCTTAACCAAAGGGTGCTAAGATCTATGATCCATGCCAAAGATCTATGCGATCTATCTTTACCCAGAACATATGTTGATTCAAATCTAGATAAATCATTGCGCTCTGCAGGCTAGGAGTCTACTATAATCATCTCAAAGAGGCTGACTGGTATCTTCAAATGATAACACCATTACTGAGGCCCTTATTGTTTTCTGTTGCTGGCACAGTGACCCATTCAGCAGCAACAGTAACTAGGTAAGCATTAGAGCATGGCGGCCTTTCCCTTTGCACCGCTTGCATAACCTCTACCTCTTTTTTGAGACCATTCTGCCTGCAACTATCTATTGTTAACTCATCTGCTGGATGAGTTAAACTCCCAGAGTTTGTCAGGAACAAACACACTGGGCTTCTCCATGCCACTAGGGCACTTCTCTCTGGTACGTTACATATAACTCGATGAACGCGGTGCCCTTTCAGAGAACACAATTCACTGGGAAGTACCCACAGTACCAAGTCAACTAGCCCATTGAATCCCTTCTTCCACTATCTTCCAGGGCAGTCCTGGTGTTTTCGTTGTATTTAACTTGAGTCATCACTTTCACCAAGCTTCCAAGAGACAGTCTAGCAACAGGTTATCACTGTCTTGTGAAGTCCCTGCCAGCTTGTGCACTCCTGAATTTCAAAAGAGGAATTCACGTGGTAAATTCTCCCTTGTCCAATTTTATGTTCCACTCTTGTCACAACACTCCAGTCATATTTCTCAGCTGCTGCAGAGACATCAATATAGTCTGCTTGGTGCTGATGGTCTTTTGAGATAGAACTTACTGCTTAGGCCCAGCATGACATTTGGTTGAGCCATGACTAGGGGGTTCATGATGAATTCTCATGTTGTTTGCTTTCAGCTTGGATCTAGGTAGAGAGATCTTCAATATCAGCAAGAGAAATTTATTCCCAAGGCCGAAATTGGAAGGTAGCCTCATTAGGGATACTTCCAATAATTACATGGGCTTTAATACTGCTGCTCTATTCTTCACAGATAAGAATGCTGCTCCTCGCCTCTCCTCAGATCTTATCACTGGAATGTCTGATATCCCCAAACCAGATATTAATAATTTAAATTCTATTCTGATAAGTATAATCAGAAATCCACAAATTGCTTTTTAGCTCATTAATTCAGTCTGAAGCACATAAACCACGTCCACAAATCTGAAAGGCAGTATCTTTATGTGGCCCTAAACTGGAAATATTTCATGTATAAGGAAAAAAACAGCCTTTAAAAAAATCAATCCAATAAAAGCATCTGGTCTCTCCTAAGTTAAACACATCTTAGATCTTCTCCTCAGCAGAAAGAGCACCATTATTAGGTTGATAAATCTGAAGACGATCCTTTCTTATTTTGTAATATGCTACCGAAACCATCCATTTTCTATGTTCACATTTTTCCTGTTTAAAGACACCTAAATTGCATTTTATATACATAGTGCCATTAAAACAAGCTGATATCTTAGTGTTAAATTCTAGAGTATTGAATTCTCAGGCAGATTTAATATATGTCTTTTCTTGGGGTATCATTTGATAGAAGTGGCTGAAAGGGGTGTGTGAAAAGAACAGATGGAATCACAAAAGATCCCCAATCATCTGGAGAGAGATGATTGATCGTGGAGGAAAGGGTCTACTCCTGGGTGGATATAACGAGTTCCTGGAGTATGCTCAGGTATGTAACTGACTTATCTGTTTTAAAAATTGTTCTCTTCCTTTAATATTTCATATGTCTTGCTTTCTGAGACATTCTCTCATCTCTCTTTCCAGCCTATTTAAGCAAAGAAAAAATTCATTGATAGCCATTGTTGAGTAATGATCTCTTTTCTAAGACTGACTTTTGCTTCCCAAATATTTAGCTGTATTATGGTGTCACCTCTAGTATGACAACTCAGATGATGATGGTAATTGCCCAAGAGAATCTGGAAACACATATAGAAAAAGAACTGGAGAAAGAAGCCTTGAAAGATCTTATCAGCCCCTTGCAGGTCTGGATCACCAGGTGCGAGAGTCAGATTCTAGGACCTTTTTTGTAGATTGGCTGTTGATTTTTTTGAAAGAACAATGAGATGAGATTAATTCCATCCATGGTTGAAGAAGGGTTATCAAGTTTCAGATATACATATATGTGTGTGCATGCATGCATGTGTGCGCACTTGTGTATATCTTCTTACATAACTCCATGTATGAGTTTTACACACACATACTCACACAATCTGTAAGCATATTTATTGTGTGGAAGTTTTGTTAAATTCTGTCATTGTTCCTTGCCTTCTTTGGCCATTGCCCTCTGACTCCTCGCACTTACACGTTTCCCTTGCATCTTCTCCATGTGTTTACTCACGCTAACCCCACACCCCTCTCATCCTGATCCTGCTTTTTTCTGCCTGTAGGTTTGCCCCTTGGTTCTCCCAGACTGGACCATGTACAACCATTACTACTTTCTCTCCTGTCTCTGCACTCATTCTTTGTCTTTCTCCCCCTCTTCCCCCTTCCATTCTCCATTCCCTTACTCTGCCTTTTACACTTTCCTGGCTATGTGTGTATTTTCTAATCTGTATGCTTGTTTCTTATAAACTTTTGGTTACTTTTAAGCATTACAAATTCAGAGTAGAATGGATGATTATATAGTAAACACCCATGACTCTTTTGTCAGATTTTGTAAATACCATAGATTCAAAGGATTAAAAAAAAAAAGCTATGGAAATTCCTACTGTGCATCTTCCCAAGCCCATAGTGATCTCAGAAACTATCTGCTAGGTTTCCCAATTCCCTACTGTTGATTTTATCACAGAAATAGAAAAGTTAATTCCTGCATGAGGTTGCAAATATATCATCCACAACCTGTGTACATGCTAACCCTGTCTGTAAAGGCTTTTGTTTGTGAATATTTGGAAAAGATAGTCTATTCTAAAAACTGTTATTGCTTGGTACATAAGGGTGTAAAGGAGAGCTTTCGCAAATGAAACCTATATCTTTTTCAAGAGGAAATGTAGACCTGTAGTTAGAATGATGTGATGAAATCTTGCTCTCTGCACATAGGGATTTCTACTTTATTTGAAAATAATATACAGTGCATTTTTTAGTTTGAAATTGTTTTCAGATGTCCAATGCAGGGGTCAGCAGCAAGAGTTTTTTGTTATTGCTGGTCAGCTTCCCATTACTACACTTTAAAATATTTGTGAATGCCTTCGCCCCCTACCTTGGTACCTTTCTGGGGACTTAATTCAGCACCTTGCCCTCCTGCTCAGCTTTTGGCTCAGGGCTGGCTGTCAGAACCATGCCTTCACTTCCAACTTTTTGCTAAAAATCTCAGAAATTTGTCTGGGTAGGCTGGATTTTAACTGGATCCTCAGATCTCAGCCTCCCTGAGTAGCTAAGATTACAGGCATGAACACTGGCCCTAGCTGTGTGAATTCTTATTTAACATATTAAAACATGCTATTCATGTACACATAAAAGTAACTATTAAGAACAAACACCTACCTAAGTGTTTATCTAACTGCTTGCCACTCAACTTTGCATTTTCATCAGTGCAACCACCCCTGTTAGCTACAGCCTAATCCCCATACTGACCAGCGGTGAAGTGTTTGGCAAGAACACAGAAATCAGCCTAACTCTATTTGACCAGCAGAAGGTGGAACATTATCTCAAAGTCATAGTGATGGAGATGCAGGACATGGCATCTCAGCTCCTCCTCAGAATCTCCTACTGCACCAAGATAGAAGAGGCTTTCCGCCAGGCTCAAGTCATCATCATCCTGGATGAAAGCACTGACAAGGAGGTGACCAGCCTGGAGGACTGCCTGAGGAGCAAGGTGTCACTGTGTCGCCTCTACGCATACCAGATAGAGAAAAATGCCCATGAGTCTGTCAAGGTCATCGTGGGAGGAAAAAGCTTTGTGAACCTGAAGGCGATTTTGCTTATGCAGTATGCCCCACGTATCGCACGCAACGTTATTGCTGTAGCCATGGGTGTGGAAGGCCAAGCCAGAGCCACAGTGGCCAGAAAGTTGAAAACAACTGCCTCACGTGAGTGCACTGCTGGCATTCTGTTTGCATTTCCCAAACATGATTTCAAGCAGCCTTCTTGAGGGATACTACTGTACACTGCACATTTTTTGTGCCTGCTTTTACAACTGACTTTGTCTATCATTATAAACATTAACTGACCAATAAACAATGTGATTAGAAGCACTGTCTTCTACTTTCGTTTTTCAGATAGGGTCTCCTGCTTTTACCCAAGCTGACTTCAGGCAGAGATCCTCCTACCTCTGCCTCCCAAGTAACTACCTCCAAAAACTTTTTGATGTAGTAGGGTCTATATTAGTAAGTGATAATATAAATCTAGTAATGATATTTTTGCCATAATATTAGTCAATTAATCAGGATTATCTGAAAAATTAGAATTCAGTTAGCTTTATGGTAGAGCACTTGCCTATCAAGTTCAAGTCCCTCAGTAAAACCCAATCCCACCACCAAGAGAGAGAGAAAGAGAATAAGGATATATTAAAGCAGTTTTGCTCCATTTCCCATCTGTGTCCTTAAATGTCTTCCTCCTAGAATTGAGGAGGTTCAGTGCAATAATAAAAAAGGTCTTGGCACATGGGATTCTTTGCAAAGATGTTAAACTTACTGATAAGTTTATGATATGTGACCAGTTTCTGCTCCTAAAACATTGAAGCAGGAGACATCAGAATCATGGGATAATGAGACTGGATCAGAAAATAGATCACATCTGACACATTTTAACTCTGTCATGCTTGATAGGGCAGGTGCACAGCACCACTGAGAATGGAAAGAGGTGAAGGAGTTCTCTCAAACAAAATTAAGAAGACAGTTGTGAAATGTGACCTTGGCGTGCTCCAAATCTGGGCAATATGGGACTTCAGTGAGCCGTAACATCAGAGCCAGGTTCAAGTGTGTTAAAAGCTACTTTACAAAGAAGCCCTAGGAAGCCTAAGTTATGGTGCTCTTGCATACATGTCTGTAGTTTCTTACTCCTAGTGACAGTACAAAATTAATGTGAAGATTATTCAGGAGAAAATGAAACATTTTCTTTTAATTTATTTTTGGGCTGGTCCTAGAACTTGAACTCAGGGCCATGACACTATCCCTGAACTTCTCTGCTCATGGTTAGTGCTCTACCACTGGAGCCACAACACCACTTCTGGCTTCTTTGAGTAGTTTTAATTGGGATAACAGTCTTGTAAACTTGCCTTACCAGGCTGGCTTTGAACCACAATCCTCAGATCTCAGCCTCCAGAGTAGCTAGGATTACAGGCATGAACAACCGGTGCCCAGCTCATTCACACGGTTTTAAGGAGCATAAACTTCAATTTATTTTGTACCAAATAGAAATAAACAAACAATACAAACAAAAAATAGGCTTCAGGTAATTTTATTTTAATTATGAAAATGTCCTGTAATCTATTTTTATTTCTACTTTTCTTTTTTACAGTCATCAAAGATGTGATCATTTGGGGCAACATCAGTGGGAATAACTATGTTGATCTGAGGAAGGCAAGGGTTTATGGATATGATAGTGCCATTTGGGGACCTCCTAATTATTCTCGCCCAGTTTTAAGCTTGATTTTTGACAGGTATAGTATATTTCTGAGTGACATACACTAACAAAAGTTATATAAATGCAGAATTGTTGTTAGAATCTTTTTAATCATCTTGCAAATCTTTATACATAAATTACTTGTACTGGATACCTTTGTTCTTGTTTGTGGTATTATCAAACAAACAAACAATTCTACAAGTAGTAACTAGTGGATTTACAACCCCAATTTCTCTTATGTTAAAATGATAAGTTTTGATATTTCAGAGTATTATTAAGGCAGTTTGTGCATTCTATCAATACAAGCATACATAAAGGAATTTAAACTCTAAAGCCAGGTATGTAGCCCAGTTGCAAAAGTTCCAAAAAGAAGAATTAAGGTGATAAGCTGACCAGGCAAAGTGGGGTGCTAGGTTCCCCTGAAGCGCCCAACTAGAGGTGCTTGGCTCACTGTACTAAAGAGCAAGCTATTTGGGATGGAATTCTCACGTAGCCTCTTGTTGTTTTAGAGGCATTATATAAACTCTCTGCCACAGATTTTCCATCAGCAGTATGAAAATGATAATATAGCATGACCCACACAGGATTGTTGGAAAGATGAAATGGATTCATCCAGTTAATTCTGGTAAACACTCACACCAGGATGCAGCAGAAGAGAAACCTGCAGGAGTATATTTAATGTATTTTCTTCCCTAATAGAACTTTCCCACTCCTGGCATTTCCTTTGCATTGTTGCTCACTTCCCTTCCTCCTTCAGCCATAGGATCCTCATCCAGGCCCAAGAATGAGGAGTTTCAGGTTCACCCTGCTGCAGCTAGCAAATTCAGGGCCAGTGTTGGATGGATCTATCTCGTAGGCTAACCGACAGCAAGGTAGCCCTTAATACTTGCACTAGTTCAGCTGGACTGTTTCTTAATTTAGACTTCAGACCATAAAACCATGATTAGTTCTTTAAATCTCAGTGTGACTAATTCAGTGTTTTATTAAAAAAAAGTTATTTGATTCTAAATGAAGAACACCAACTAGTTCCAAGAAGATATCTTCATAGAATAAATTCTTTGTAATGAAAGTAATTGTTCCCAAAGTATTTGGCTACTTTTCTGTGTCACATATTTAGTTTGAAATTTGGGGGTTCCTTTCGATAATATCTCCCCATCGATTGCTTAAGGATACTATGAAGTCATATTTCCATTTTGATTATGGACATCATTACTTGTACTAACTTCCAACAGCACGAGAAATTTCCCTTTTCATTTCCAATCTTCTCTCTTAACAAAATTGTGTCTTTTTTCTTTCAGTGACTGGCTACAAAAAGAATTTGTGATGACTCTTAAAAACATGACAGCCACAGGAAAACACTTTGGGAGCATTTTGGCTGCACATAGCATCACTACTACTTTGAAATACTGGTACCATGGTTCACCACCTGGGGAGATTGTGTCCTTAGGAGTATTGAGTGAAGGTAAATCTAAACTTTTCATGTCTTGTTAATTAAAAAAAAAACTCCTGTCCATGTCTCCTTATGGTCTATAAGAAGTCTTGACATTTATAGTGTAATAAAACAAGTATTCAGCATCAATTCATTTGGTTATTCCCTGGAACCTTGGTAAAACTCAAGGACATTGTCCCAAATCCCTCAGATCAGAATCACTGTCCATCTCTCTTCTAAAGTAACATGGTGCTTTGCCAACTTTCAGAGAGCACATTATAGTTGCCCTCTTAGCTTTATACTTGTAGATATCCTTGTTATGGGTCTGTCTAGCTTCTCAAGACAGCAGTTTTGTCTGGATCACCTGTCTACACCTTTAGGAAACATTTTTATAGGACACACAGTGAACTTAGTACAATTGAAGTTCAGTTTCACATTGCCACAGTGTGAATTCAAGTCAGTTTGTCATGTTTGTCAAGAAATGGGTATTTAAAACTCTATATTTGTAGAAAGAAAATTCAATTCCTCTCTGGAGAAATTTCATCAAAAATAAAGAATGCAATACTAGGAGGAGGGAGACAAATGATGTTTGTCTCTCTAAAAGCAGAACCTTAGATAACCTTCACACATTCTTTGCCCATAAGTTTAGTTATTCACAGATAAAACACATACAGAATGAACAGAAGACCTAGGAGGCCCTCTAGGGAAAAGGCTTTTAGGCTCGGGTTCCTTGACTCCCTTGTATTTTGGGGGAGTTCCTTGGCTCCCTCAGTATTTTTGCCCCAGTAACAGCATTTTTCGTATCTGAAATGGTAAGAAAAGTTTTCTTATTTAATTGAGATACCAAAAAGGGGAAGATAATTTGGCCTGAAGGGTACTCAGGAACTAATAACGAGTGTTAGTCCTTTCACTCCCAGCATACCCAAGTGGGGGATTTGAAGCTGCAAGGAGATAATCACCTTTCTCACTTGCTTTCTTTCCATTGCCAGTCCTGCATGTCCAGGCAAAATGGCTGCCATATGAGCTGCAAGAGTGGAAAACTGTTTGGACGAATGACTTAGGCTTGTGGGCTACAGAGAGAGTCATGGGAAGCTATGGGAAACAGATACAAGGAAGATAGACAAAGTTTGGAAAGGCAAGACTGTGTTAACACCTGGGTATGCAACTTGGTATTAACTGTGTTAACTCCTGGGTATTAAAACTTGGACAAGTGCTCAGCTAATACTTTTCAAGTGACTGCTTTGGTCTACCCTAAAGAAGAGTACCTAAAACTTATTTCCATCATTGCCACTAAAAATTGTGACTATACTGAGTGACTATGCTCACACCTGTGATCTTAGCTACCCAGGAGGCTGAGCTCTGAGGATTGCAGTACAAAGCCATCCCAGACAGTAAAGTCCATGAGATTCTTATATCCAATCAACTACTCAAAAAAAGAGCTAGATATGGCACTATTGTTCAAGGGGTCGAGTGCTACCCGTGAGCAAAAGAGGCTCAGGGACAGTACCCAGGCCCTGAGTTCAAGCTCCAGGACTGGCGTGCACATGCACACGCACGCCCATACACACACACACACACACACACACACACACACACACACAAATTGTGTTGTGTAATATTGCCAGGACCAAGTGGCTGTAATCCTAGCTACTCATGTGGCTGAAGATTGCAGTTCAAAGCCAGCCTGGGCAGAAAAGTCTATGAGAATCTTATCTCTAAGTAACCAGCGAATAAAACAGAAAGTGGAGCTAGTGGTTCAAGGATAGAGCACCAGCTTTGAGTAAAAGAGCTAAGGAAGAATGTCCAGGCCTTGAGTTCAAGCCCCAGTACTGACTGGTGTGCCCGTGCACGCGCACGTGTGCACACACACACTCACACACATGCACAAACTTGTGTGCTATGTGTGTCCTTTTCTATAATTTTCAAAAGAGAGTGTATTTTTCTCAGTGTGTTCATTTTGTTTTTCTTGTGTGTGCTCACTGCAGGCCAGTTTGGTATTCCTGAAGGGATTGTCTTTTCTATGCCTGTGAAATTTGAGAATGGGACTTGGATAGTTCTTACTGATCTTGAGGACATTGACCTAAATGGAAAAATAATGAAGAGCTTGACAAGAGATCTGTTTCAGGTAATGTCAGAGCACATTCAAGGGAACTGGCTTTAATATAATCTTTTTTATTGTGAAAATACTGTACAGAGGGGTTACAATTACATGGGCAAGATAACGAGTACATTTCTTATCAAGCATTGTAGCCTCCTCCTTTGTTTTAATATAATCTTAAACTGAATCTATGCATTGGTTTTCTATGTTTGTTTAATTTGTAACTTTTTTTGAGATTCTTATTTTTAATTGTGAAAATATGTACAGAGAGGTTACAATTGCATGAGCAAGGTAATGAGTACATTTCTTATCAAGCATTGTTGCCTCCTCCTTTGTTTCCCCTTACCATCCCTTTTCATCACCGCCTCCCCTGCCCCCCCTCCCACCCACCAAAGCTATAAACATAACATCTTGTACATCTCATTGTTGCTGTAATGGGTCCACCTGTATCTCTGTTTAAACAACTTGTTTTTTTTCTCTTCTCCTCCACAAATTAAACCAACATCAAATACAGTGAAAACAGGGGTTATACTGTGGGGGAGGGACATACAAAGCAACAAAGAAATAATCTTATAAATATGTTAGAAACAATCACAAGAAAGAAAAACCATTTGAGTCCTTATCTTGGGGTTCATTTCACCTAACATCACCTAACCATTTCTGCTTGTCTCAGACATATACTAGTTATTGCAAATAAGGGAAACCATGGGACCTATGTTTCTTTGGGCCTGGCTTACTTCACTTAATATAATTTTGTCCAAGTCTTCCCATTTCCTAACAAATGGGGCAATGTCATTCTTTCTGATGGAGGTATAGCATTCCATTTTCTTGATCCATTCATCTACTGAGGAGCATCTGGGTTGGTTCCATATCTTAGCTATGATAAATAATGCTGCAATAAACATAGTTGTGCTGGTAGCTTTAGTGTGGTCTTGTTTGTAAACATTTGGGTAAATGCCCAAAAGTGGGATTGCTGAGTCATAGGGGAGCTCTATGTGGAGTCTAGCCATCATAACCCTAATCCCAAAACCAGGCAATGACTCATCATAGAAAGAGAACTATAGACCTATTTCTTTGATGAACATTGTAACTTATTCCTAAAATTAATGAAGCAATAAAAATGTAATGAAACAAGAACATTGTTCATTGGGATTGTAATTTATGGCATATTAAAATATTTGTCATTATTTAAAATCAAGAATTGAAGCACTGTTCTATTATGGGGTAACTAAGCTAGTGATTATTGTCATTTAATGATCTGATTATAAAATTTTTCAACAGGAGAAACTTGTTGCACTTGGACACAACACAATTTTTCAGCCTTACAAATCAGGTACTATCTTTAGATATTGTCTTTATTGGGCCACTATGAAGAGTTGTTATAAATGAATCACTATTCATATAGATATTCAAATCCATATTCATCATTTTAACTAAATTATTGACAAAAACAAACTTCCAAATTCAGAATCTTTTTTTTTGGGGTCCAGTCGTGGGGCCTGAACTCTGGGCCTGGGGGCTGTCCCTCAGCTCTTCAGCTCAAGGCTAGCACTCTACCACTTGAACCACAGCGGCACTTCTGGCTTTTTTTCTTTTTGCTTATGTGGTGCTGAGGAATTGAACCCATGCCTCAGGCATTGCAAGACAAGTGCTCTACCACTGAGCCACCTTCCCAGCCTTCAGAATCTTTTGAAATGAAATATGGTAAGAATGTTCAAGAGATCACATCCTGAAACACCTACCAAAATGTGGTATAGGACTACCCTTTACTTTTCTAGAGCTACTATATCAATTACCATGAACTAGGCAGAATAAAACAGCAATAAGCTATTTGCTTCTAGGTCAAGAGAATAGAAGGCCTAAATTAAGATGTCAGTAGAGCTGGATTCCCTCTGAATGCTCTGGGGAAGAATCCTTCTTTGCTTCTGGTAATAGTGATAGGCATTTTTTGGCTGTAGCTACATCATTCCAATCTCTGTCTCCCTCAACATATCCATTGCCTGTGTGTGTGTGTGTGTGTGTGTGTGTGTGTATTTCCAAGTTTCTTCCTCTTGCCTCACAAGGACACACTTAGGGCCTCCACAACCACCCGACATGACCCATGTTAAATTGATTATATGTGCTAAGACCCTATTTCCAAATAAGTTCACAAGCACAGAAAACAGAGGTTAGGACTGCAGAATATTTTTGGTGATATGTTTTAACCTACAACACCATATTTATTGCAGAATAAATGTCAATATGCTTATTCTTTTTCATTGACATTTTCTTTCATCATAAATTCATAAGGAAGAGCTATCATCTTTTTGTCCTTCCTTCACCTTGAGGTAATTTCCATTTAAAATATGTAAATAGTCATGTCAAAGTAAATAAGTTCATTTGTGCAAATAGGTTTAATCAAATGTCTTTTAGAACAGAATATTCCTTCCTTCCACTTTTATTTAGGGAACTCTAACAATAAACAAGTGCTAGAAACTGAAAATACATAGGCATTAGTTACTTTTCTATAGCTGTGACCATAACCTGGTAAAACAAAGGAAGAAGAATTTATTTTTATCATACTTCAGTTCATGGTGGGTGACTCCACACACTACATCTGAACATTATGATGGCTGGAGCCTGTGATGGGGTGGTTCTTCACCTCATGGGTGCCAAGAAGCAGGGAGAGAAGAAGGGATAAGGGCCACACTAACCTCCAAAGGCCACACAGCCTTCAGTGACCCACTTCCTCCAACCTAGACCCTATGACTTAAAGTTTCCAGAAGCTCCCCAAATAGTACCACCAGCTTGTAATCAACCATGCAACATTTTGCATTCAAACCACAAGTGGTGAGTAAGATAGCTCTGATCTCTCTTTGGGTATCTGCAGACTACCAAAGGACCATACATTATACAAATGATTGCTTGGTGGTGTCTCTCGAGGATGCATACTGTAGGGTGCTATGCTGTGAGAATATAGGCCTGGGGAAAGAAGTGAAGAACGTGAGGCAAGAAAGGCTACATCAGCTTATTTGGAAAAACTTCAAAAAAAAAGGAAAAACAACTTACATGGCATAAGCCTAAGAAGATGGAGCTAAGAGTCAAAGCCCTGACATGAAAGTGTGAGAGCAATTGGAAATTACTAGATGGAAAATTATCTGGTCAGGACAGAAAAACATGTGAGAGAGATAAGATGGGCCCAGAAGTCTGACCAGAAGTATGATTAGTTTGAAAAACATACTGGAATAAGGCAAGGCTGTTTGCAAAAAGACTGGAATTAGGAGGTAGCATAATGATATGAGAGTAAGGGCTAATTACAGCCAAGAAACTGGGGAGACATATAAGAGACTTGATGATGGGGTGGCTCTGGGAATTCCAAGACACTCAGGCTTCTTCTAGTTCAATTACTGATAGAAATTAAGTATATTTACTGATAGAAAAAAATGGCATACACACTCAAAAAGAAAAATAAATGAGAATATGAGAGAGAAAAAGAAAGACCATGGGTGGTATTGTACACATGCATGTGTAAAGTAAAGGAAAGATGACTTTGGCTTCTTACTTTCTAATTCTGAAATACCTTTGGGGTATCTGCAGTGGAACTATCAGATAGAGAACTGCATATTTCTCAGTGCTCAGAACAAGCTGGGGTAAGCTGTCAAATTGGGATCTGTTGCCTCATAAATAACACAAAGCCATGAGATTATCCTAACTAGTGATTAAGTAGCGCTGGGTTAGCTGACAGAGGAGCGAGCGCACGCGTGCACGACGAGAGAGAGAGAGAGAGAGAGAGAGAATGAGAATCTGATTTTGTGGGATATCTAAAGGCAGAGTGTTTTAAGTACTAGAGCTAGTCTATACTTTCAGATGCTCTGAAGAAGCCAAATAAAATATCTCAAAGTATGAATGACACTCAGAAGTCATTGTATGTATGTCATGCATCAAACCAATGAATGACATAATGGTCATTTATGACTTTGACAAGAGAAAAACTTATAGATTGGTGGAAGGAGGCATGAGACCAGAGTAGAAAAGAAGAACCCTAGATTTGGAAGCCACAGACTTTCAGTGGAGCTTAGGTGCTTCAATCAGAAGGCCCATGATGATTTTGATATCATGGAAGAAGGTGACACCCAAGGTAAATTGTAAGAAGAAAGATGGTTCAAGCAAGCAGGGTGATAAATGGGAGGGTTGTTCTTTTGAAAGGTAGCAGCATATAAAAAGACAAAAGAAATAAGAATGAACTTTGAAAGAACTGCCTACCCATTATATCTGGGAAAAGGCTTGAGATGAGAAGACTTAGAGTTACCTCCCTACCTCCTTAATAAGCCTTGTTTGAACTAATGTAAGATTTTAGGCAGGAGAAGAATCGGAGCATATTCTTACATTTAGAATGATCATTCTGTATTCCAAAAAAATGGATTGAAGGAAGAGATACAAGCAGCAGGAAGAACTATGATGATAGCCTTAGCTAAGCAGTGGCCAAGGAGATGTAGAGAGAGAAGCAGCTAGATTTGAAAGAGATACAATTTGCAGAACTTGACCAACCTGAGGAAAAGGATGAGAGAGAACTCCAAGCCATCAAGAATGTACTCACTGTTTTTGCCTTTGAAATATATGGTGGTAATATTTCATGAGGCAGAATTTCCACCAATGGTGGAAGTATGTAATTTACACTATTAATCTCCACTCTTGGGAAAATTCATGAGCAGCTGGTTACTTCTACTGGCCTTATCACTTATTATGTTTGGTGAGTCATGAAAATGACTGGAAAGATGTGGTTAAGGTAAGGAATAGAGGGGAAGGAACAGACTTTCAGGAGTCCTTTAACTCAAAGTATCTACATGGTGATGGACACATGTCTTTTAGTTTAGGAGCTGAGATAGCCATAAGGACAAAGAGTCATCAACTGGTACCTCTTAGAAGAGGTCCTGGTGGCTAGGGATGGATGGCTTCTTCATTGGTCATTTGTACCATTTGGATTTGGTTCCATGTACACGACTAAATATCAAAAAATGTAAATGCATAGGTATGTGGACGGTTAATGTTTAACCACCATTAACATGAGGGAGAGTAAAAATAGATGGGAGTCAAAAGAGGGTCCTCCAAACAGCAGCAGAACCCCAGGCCTGGATTACAGGATCCACTTCAAACTGAAAGCATCTCTCCTGCTTAGGCTAGAGGGAATGAGGAGATGGTCCCAGGTGTGGGTGAATATATAGGAGGGGAGAAGTCAGAACAAAACAATAAGCAGCAGAACCAGCTACTGAGAGTCAGAGGCCAAGGGAAAGGCTAGGGCTATAAGGAAGGAGAGGAAAGTTAAATATTTGATAAGGGGAAAGGAGAAGAGAAAGTGACCTGGAAAAAGCACATCTATTTTTTTTTTCCAACCTGGCAACTCAGTAGAAGTCAATGATTGTAGTGACCCCAACATAGGGTTGTAGGATTCCCTGTAAACATGCTCTGCTGCAGGATGAAGGAGCACCAAAATAATAATGTGTACCACCACACTACAAAATTAGAATAAAAATAACACTACCCCGTGATGACAATGAAATCCTGAAGTTTCCCATGCTGATTTTATTTGGAATATCAAAATATTTCCAAATGTTTTAAAAAGATACTGAGATGATTTTCATCAGCACCATTGGATATAAGTATGGGAAATGAGTCCTGTTCTATTCTTTTACTTAATATTTGGGGAGGGAGGGCTCCAAGGCAGATGATGGTGGTAACTGCAACAACACAGATGAGGTCATACACCTTGGCCATCCGTAATGTGTTAAGAAGCAAAAGTAAATAGAAATAAAATAAAAGAGTGATACTGAACGTCCCTGCCCACCTCTGTGCTGCAAAATCTGTCTAAAACACTTGTGGAAATAAAACACTAGCAGGAAATAATTGAGGGGCATTGCTTCAGACCAGAGATTTAGTAAGGTCAAATTACAGAAGGAAGAGCAGAGAGAACTTAAGGAAAATGTGGGGACAGAGCATGGGTTCAGGAACTTAGAGAATGTTCTGGCTGATACACATCATCCAGATTGAGTCAAACCAAATGCAATCCAAATGCAGAATGAAGTCGGAAACTACAGGCACAGATAATTATATAGACGTCCAACAGGCAATTGTATATTACTACTGCTACTACTACTACCACCTTCAAACAACTGTAGAAGGGGAAGGTTCTACTTAGCATGTCTATTTATATATACAAAGCACCTTGATCAGCATCATCTCTTCTATCATTTGCCCTTGGTTTTAAAGCAGACTCTCTTATTCCAGAATTTAAAGCCTCTCCAGGTGGCTTCTTACATTGGGAAGACTAGAGCTGCGAAATCCTTTCACTGAAATGCACATCAAAACTGTCTTCCAAACTTTGACTTCAGCACTAGTAGCTAGTCCTAAATTCACCATCTATACTGGTATCAGAAGCTTGTTTTACTTGCAGATTTATTGCATGTGGTTTTGGCACAAAAAAAAATGCCCCCCAAATAAATAAAGTTTTGAAACTTTAAAAGAAAATTCAGAACAAAATTTGTAAGTTCCTGCATCCACTGTGGATGGAGAGAAGCCGGCCAGTCCCATATTATAATGTCAGCTTTGTTTAAATTATTGTATGACCTGCTATGGGTTTCCCGGACCTTAAATGAAAATATGCCTCCCTAAAAGCTAGCAGCATCCATAAAGCAAGGGAAATGTGAATGTGCGTCATCTAATTGATAGAGTGAACATTTTAGATTTGTTGAAAAGAGGCAAATTTTTATTTGGGCATTTTTATTTTAGTTGGGCAGCACTGTGGGAAAATGAATCAAGCACCCATAGTGTACAACACTGAACTCTGAACCCTAGGCATTTGAGGTACTTTCCTAACACTGGTCTCTTTGGAACCAAATACCTAGGGTTACCAAGGGTCTATTACATTATGGAAAGTTTCATGAAAGATAATTACCTGTCATTCTTCTGGATGTTTATTACACTGTATTACCTTTGGACCTTGCTCCAAAGAAAAACACTGTCCCAGGGATTCTAAACTCACATCATCAAAAATAATCGGAGCATTGCACCCTCTTACAATTTGGAGAGCTCTGCTTATGGTTAGTGAAATGATTTTTGTATGAGATTTGCTTAATCATTTTAATCAATCTAATACTTGGTTTTCTGACTTTTAGAATCTCAATTAATCAAGAAGTATGAAGACTTGTCCCTTTCCGCCCAATATGAAAAACAGGAAGTACAAGTAGAAATACAAACCCCGCTTACACGTCAAGGTACGCGCAAGTGAAAAAACTGCCTTTATTTGGTATAAAAGCTAACACTAAATTTTAAATATTTGGATAAAATTGCCAGATAGACACTGCAAGTCCTCAGTCTCTTGGTTGCTGTAAGAGATACAGGTGGGCAAAAAGGGAAGTGAAAGCAACATAAATTGTTGAAAAGAAAGGAGCCAAGAGACTGTGAAATGCCAAGACATAGAATGCCAAGTCAAAGCACATAATTGATACTCTAAAAACTCACAGGAAAGGTCCTTTTAAGACATGAAGAGGAAAATTTAATCCGAATTTTGGAAATGACTTGTGAATTAAGGTTGGCTAAAGATAAACAAACAGGCATTTCTTTGTTCAGAAACTGTACTGGCTCAGTCATTCCAGATGAAAAAATTCTAAAAATCTACTATAGAACAATTTTTGCATAGCTGGCAACCTTGTATTATATCTTTAAATTTTTAACAGGATAAATGTCATGTTATGTGTATTGGCCAAGTCAAAGAAGGAAGGGAGGGAAAGAGGGATGGAGGAAAGAATAATAAAAGGAGGGAGGGGGAAAGAAGGGATGGGGGGAAGAGAAGGAAGGAAGAGGGAGAAAAGGAAGAAAGAGAGGGAGGAAGAAGAAAGGAGGAAGACAAAAGGGAAAGAAGGAAAGAGGGAAGAAGGAAGGAAGACTTGCTAAGTGCTAGGGACATTTAAAATTAAGCCAAGCCTGGTTTCTACTCTTAAAATTGTGTATTTGAAATAGTAAAGCAAAGAAAAAAATTATACTATTGAGATATCTTAATTTGTTTCAGCTGCCATAACAGAATACCATAACCGAAATGACTCACAAACAACTGAAAATTATTTCTCCATGTTCAAGGGGCTAGAGAGTCCCAAATGAAGATATTAGCAGGTTCAGTGTGCTGTCAAAGCCCATTTCCTTGTTCATAGATGGCCTCTTCTCATTATGTCCTCACACAGTGAGAAAGGACCAACAATTCCCATGAGCCTATTTTATGAGGAAATAATCCCATTCATGAGGGCTTCACCCTTATGACCTGATCCCCTCCCAACAGACTAACATTGAAGTGACATAGAATCACTCTGGAGTTGAAGTTTCAATATGTGAATTGGAGTGGGAATAGGGCATAAACTCTATCCAAAAGGAAGTGCTATAATAGAAAGAGGCCCAGGGTATAGTCAGGAGTGTGACTCACTGTGCAGTAGAACTCTCTGTACATTCATGTTTATTGCCACAATATTTTCGCTAGCCAAATTATGGAATCCACCTAGTTGTCTACCAATAGATGAGTGGATAAAGAAAAGGTGTATAATATATGCACAGTAAAGTATGATTCTGCCACAAAGAAATGAATTATGTTGTTTGCAAGGAAATAAGTAAAACTGGAGATGATTATGTTGATCAAAATAAGTTATACTTAAAAAGACAATTACTACACATGAAAATATGTGCAGAATCTAGATGTAAGAGGACATAGACAAAATTGGAAGACCTTTGTGGGCAGTCAGTGGGGAGAGGAAATGTGGGGGCAAATATGATCAAATTATATTGTAGACATGCATGAAAGTATAATAAAACTTCATCTAAAATTTAAAAATATATTTACCATGTAAAAAGAAGGAAAGAGAGAAAAGAGGGAAGGAAGAAAAGGGAAGGAGAGAGGGAGGGAAGGGGAAAAGAAGGGAGACAGGCCCAGGATACAAAGAGAGCATATAGGAGTCTTCTGCCATAGACTGACTAGGTTAGGAAAGGCATTCCAGAAGAGCTGACATGAGACCTTATTCTAGAAAGATGAGCGGGGATCCCTTAGGTGATTCAGAGTAAAGGAAGTTCAAGGGTAAGGCAAAGTGGAAGAAGGTGGTGAAAGGCTTTCCACAGAGGGAAAAGAACATGGAAGAGGAGGTAATCAAGGCATTTCCAGAAGTACAAGTCTGGGACATTAGAAGTTGCTTTCAGAAGACAGTAAGATCTGAGCTCCAGGGGGAGATGCAGAACTAAGGGCAGTGTGTCGTTTGACTGATGGTGAGCAATATGGCCGGTGGGATGATGGGACAAACCAGGAAGTCGATGGGGCCAGGCTCGCACTGAGACGACTGTTGTTACCTCTGAAAAGGACAGTTACTGGGCTCAGATCACTGTCCAAAAGAGGTCCCAGCCCTAGGATGTCTCTCTTTAGAGAGGCTCAATCAACTATACTGTGTCTCTAGGTATCTAAGAAGCAGAAAATGCCAGAAAAGGAGCAGAGTGTTGGTTTTGGTTGGTTGCACTGGTTTCAGTTGGTGGCATTGGTTCCTGCTTGTTAGATGAACTTTAAAATCAAATATAAAGGCTAAGCACTAGTGGCTCATGCCTATAATCCTAGCTACTCAGGAAACTGAGATCACAAGGATCACAATTTGAGGCCAGTCTAGGCAGAAAAAATGCATGAGCCGCCATCACTAAAAGAACTAGCAAAAGGCTGGGGCAGAGGCATGGCTACAGTGATAGAGCAAAAGCTGGGCAAGTCCAAGGTCCTGAGTTCCAACCCTGGTAGAAGGAGAGATAGAGACAGGAAGAGAGGGAGAGAGAAGAGAAAGAGGAGAGAAGGGAAGGAAGGAAAGAAGGAAGGAAGGAAGGAAGGAAGGAAGGAAGGAAGGAAGGAAGGAAGGAAGGAA